CCCTTGATACATGGAATCTTTGTACACAAAATACTGTACAAAATATGAAGTTATAATGACAGCTTGAAAAAGGCTAAAGAATAAAATTTGAAGGCCACTGTTTTGGGGGAAGGTGTCTGTGTGTCTTTTTAATCATAGCTTGTTTATCTGCATAAAGCTTGAGATTTCTGTCTTTATTGTTGAGGAAACAGTATTTGCCGCATAGAGCCGTGATGAGCTCATGTTAGACCTTCTTTTAAAAAACTTAAATTTTGAGTGGACAGGGTAAGTTTTTCACTTCTGGAATATTGTTTAAATGTTAAGTCACTTCCAAAAATTGTTTCATCTGGTGTAGAAGATCATGTTCTTTCACAAAGAGGCAGAACAGTCTTCCATTTCAGGTGTGAACTGTGATCTACTTGAGTATCTCTGCTCTTGACCCTCTTGGTCTTTGTGTCTCAAGAACTTATTTTCTATTAGGTTATTTTCATGGCCCTAGAAATTGCACTTTTTCAACCCTGAAATATTGTTAGCAATGATGGAAGTAATAACTCTTATTGAAAATTAAATGCGTTTATCACCATCAATAAAAATCAACAGGAGTTACAAAGCAAAATGAGAATATGTAATGTACTTTATTCCTTGAATTGTGCTAAAGTATTTTCCAACTTGCAAGATAACTCTAAAGGTGCAGTAATGAAAAGAGCACTTAATTTATGCATCGCAACTTTTACAGGTGCAGAACTAGATGCTTGAATGTCATTGTGTGTGGGTGTACGTATTGATACCTTTGTTACACGTGTAGAATCCTTCAGGTCATATAGAAACACAAAATTTACCGTAAAAGAAACAGGATAAATGTATGTACTTTTTTCAGCAGAAATAGTCTGGTCTGCAGCCATTTAAGTTATTGTTGGCAGATTTTATTTTTTTTTAAAGCAGGCTGATTGTTAAAATGTCGATAATGAGCTGGGAGTGATAGCTGGATGACGCTGCTCATATGTAAGGCTAAGCATGGATGAGAGCAGCCTGATCGGGTTATATGTTAGCCAGCCATAACGAATGAAGAAAATACAAAGTATGAGTTAGTGTGCGGAAAGTAGCGTATAAGGTAATGGATCTGTTCTTTCCAATGTCTGTCTTCTGATGTTTTATGTTATCAGTAGGTAAATAAGAATTTCTGAAGCATGCCATAAATGAAGTTTTATTTCCTAATGTTAGAAATAAAAGCTGTGTCCAAACGGTTCATTAAGACTTACTCCAGATCACTTTTTGAGTATTTTACTCTGAAAACCAATCCACGCTCTGATTCTTTTTCTAGAGAAAACAAACAACTAGGAACTGAAACTGGAGACTTTACAGTGCTGCATCTTAAATTTAGAATATTTATACCTATTCATTCAGTTTTTTAATGCTATATAAACATTTAAAGGAGTTTTCTATGTGAAAAAAATGTAGGTAGGTACTTCAGAAAATGGTTAGCATGAACTGCTGTAGTTTGGTTGCTTCCTCTACTAGAAACAGTTAATTAGCAAAGAACACCCTATGAAGGGTAGTTGAAACCAAAGCCAGTTTCAAATAAACCATGCTCTCTCACTCCCAAGATGGTAACAACGGGACAAACAAACAAAGAAAATTTTTAAGGCTTGGGGTTGTGTGGTTTGGTTTTGTTTTAGATAATTGAACAACTTCCATCTGTAGAATTTTACTAATTTTACAGGTGGTGAAGTGAAAAAACAGTATCTTCCATCTTTTACTGTGGTTTAGTAATTTAAATATAGTGGCTGTTCTGTGCATTGTACGGAAACTATTGTGCTCCGAGTCAGGAAAGTGCTGTCCTTCAGATACCTGATAATTGGTATAAATGTTGAGGGTTGGTTGTTTTTTTTTTTTTTTATTTATCCCCTTCCTCCACCCATTAGGAGGACAGCCAGCCATTGCCACACAGGGTAGTTTTACTGAAGTGTATACGTCAGAAGTGGTGTTGGTCTTGCTTCATGTTGTTACGGACCAACATTGTAAATGGGTGGCCACGTGAAGTTATGCCATTTGTCAGCCGTTCTGAATGTCCTCTTGTACCAGATTGCCTCAGTCAGTGCTTTTAGGAATGTAAGCTGTTTGAATTGGTAAAATAATGTGTGATTTGGTTATTATTAAACGGTGGCACCTTTTGAGAACAAATAGAAGTGTGCCTTGAGAAAGATGAGAATGCTGTCACTAGGCTGTCGTAGCACCGTACATTAGCAGATAGTCTCCTTTTACGACAAAAAGCTTCAAAATGACGATCAGTTGTAACTTTGAGAGTGCTTTCCTCAGGCTGTCTCTGAGGGATGCTCTCATAGCCCCTGTTGTCATTTCTGTGGTAATATTTAACTGCTCCAGGCTTTGGTGAAACGAGAAGGGCAGGTCTATACCGTGGTCTAAGGGTTTATTGTCAGTTATTTGTTTTGATGAGCCACCAAGTTGGTAGTTGAGAAAGATGGGTTTTACACTGTTAAGAAATGCGTCCCAAAGCTCCCTGATATACTTAAGCCCTATAGAGAATCACAGTTCATGGGACTTGGTGTAATTTGGAAAGAATATGCATAATATTTTGAACCCAGGCTTTATTTAGAGTATTAGATCATTAGATCATTTTCCTAGTGGTATGCAGATAGACCTTGATATTACACTGTTCTAATGGGGAAGGTGGTGTGCTGTTGAGTGTAGCGTGGGGTTTTTTTAAAAATGCTTAATCCTACACTGTAGAAGATCATTGCTGTACTCAGATCACTGTACATCTAGAATAGTAACTACATTTTATCTAGTATTTAAAGGGAACCAATTTACATCTTTTTTTCCATTCAAAATCCTTGGAATTTAAGGAAATAGTAATTTTGAGATTTATTTCTCAAATAATAAAATCACTTCATGAGTGAGAGATACTAGTGCTGTGGAATAGCATTATATGGTGGTTGTGGTCACTTTCAAAAAGTGCAATTTTTTAAGTTATATGATATTAGCTTTATATTTTGTAAAAAAACTTGCTGCATAAAGTGGGGTCATGAGGGAATAAAGTGGACAAACTGTTCACTTGTGAGAAATGACAAATTACAAGCATGATGACTTAAGCTGCCCATGGAATATGACTTTACTTCCATTTATCTTGTTCCTAATGCAGTCATCTGAAAGAAGAAAAAGAGACACCGGTCACTTAAAAATAGGTAATGTTCTTGATTTGCATGTCCTGGAAGATGATCTGCTCTGAGGAACACAGGATAGCATGACACCAAGGAGGACAGATAATTTCCTTGGGCTTTATTGAACTAGTACGATCAGGATCCGAGAACAGCATCGCCGTTTCGGAAGGTTATTACTTCAAGTAGGTTGCAGTGCGATAGAAGACAGAGCTGCAGTAAGCCCCTTGCAACTTGCTTTGGCTGGCTGCAGCTTTGCAGAACCTTGCGAGGTCAGTTAGACAAGTAAAGACAATTACTCCCTGTAGGAACCAGCCATCGGTAGTAGGTGGAGAGAAGGCAAGTCTCTCCCACGCTGTTAGGGAGTGTTGCTGCAGCATGGAGAGCGCCTAGAGGCCGCCGAGATGCCTACTGCTTGGAAGCAGGGAGCAACTCGGGGCAAGCAAGGAGAACCCTTGCTCACACTCAGCACCACATGATTTCACAAGGCCCGGTGTTGTTACCTGAATTCGTGGACCGAACACGCGTTGAGCCACGGTTGTTCCTTGCTGAAGCTCAAGCCCAAGGCTGACTTGTCTCTGGCCTTTCTGAGCTAACCTAATGTCTGCGCTCCTTAATAAAGGCTTTTCGGGATAAAACACTTATTTATTTGAGGA